GGAAGGAAGGAAGGAAGGAAGGAAGGAAGGAAGGAAGGAAGGAAGGAAGGAAGGAAGGAAAGAAACCAAACCAGACCGTACAGGAGCAGACTGCTTTACCAATAAAGCTTTATTTATAACAGCCAGCAGCAGCTGGATTTAGTATTTGGATCTTCGTTTGCTCAGCTCTGGTTTAGATCTTGGTGTTTGTTCCTTCTAAGCCTTAGTCTCATCTCTTGGCTCTTTTTAGTCACTCTTTGAAGTCTCCCTCCTCCCCCCGCCATGTCTTCTTTGGGTTCCAGGCTCTCTGTTACAGTCTGCATTGACTTGTGTGCCATAGTTTAGAAACAGGTAGAGTAATGTCTTCTGCTAGCCTTCCTTTCTGTGCTCAAGATATGGTTGGTTTTTACCGTAATAGACTTGATTGTTGTCAGGAAAGGCATCCAGTAGCTCATACGTCTTTGTTGTTTTTACTGAGAGCCTATTGCCTGTCGTTCTTAATACACTTGGCATTGATTTTTCCCTTGCTATCACACATTTGTCTGCTGAAGCTCTGTCTCCACCCTCCCCTCCTTTCAGTGTTCTGAATTTATCACTGTTTTCACTAATAAGAAAAACTGAAGCAGTCGATGGGTTTGAAGATGTCCCTGAGTTACTTCTTACATGTAATTATAAGAACGGGATGACCGGTCCCTGATGACATCTGTCTTGGTCGTCCCTTGCTGTTTGCCCTGCTCAGATCCATTTTACTGCCTTCCTGAACCACATTTCTGTCTCTACTAAAGTGTTCATCCACATTCATGGTCATTTAGTCGTTTAAATAAAAGAAGCTTAAGAAAATTTCTCAGTGACGTTTCTGCCAACAGATCAGCAGCTGGGACTGACATCAGAGTTGGTTGTGTGCAGAAGCGCCCACTCTCATTGTCCTTTCCTGAAGCCCTTGTTTGGTGACTTGCTTGGCAGGGAGCCACAGGAATGCCTGAAACTGTCAATCACATTGTGAAACACTTTGCATCCTAGGGAATATCATCTTAAAAATCAAGATTTTTTTTTTTTATTTGCTGTATTGGATAAAAGTTAATAGTGTCCAAGTTTTTAAAAAAACTACTGCTATTGAGTCTGTTCTGACTAATGATGATCTTCCATTGGGTTTCAGAGGCTGTGAAGCTTTTTAGGAGTGGCCTCCTCATTCTCCCCATGTATGGCTAGTGGATTTGAACCACCAACCTTTCTGTTAATAGCCCAACACCTAATACACCGTGCCACCAGTTTCAACTGATATAGTGATATTTCTGCCTTGGGAAGACACTTAAACTTCCTCATATCTTCAGTCTTCAACATTATAGTGTGAGTCCCTTCAGAGTGAAAATATGTATCTAGTGAAAGCACACATGATGTAAACACCCTTCACTGTCTTCATTCAAACAGAAACATGCATTCTTAAGAAAGATGTGAAAAAAAATTTTTTTTTAAAAAAAGAAAGCTTTGGGTCTGCTTTCCCTTTGGGCTAGTAGATAACTCATGCATCATGAACCAGATCCCTCTGTCAGTTGCTGTGTGGCCAAGAGAAGGTTTTCTGAGGTATTGCATCTCCGGGAACCCCTTTGTCACTGACAGTACACAATTTAGGCACACACGGTAGGCATCTTTCACCACCAGCTCTACCTGACCTTCATTCACCAACAGTGGGGCCTGAAGAGGGAGGCTGAGTGTGAATCTGCACCAGGATACAGCTCTGTGAGGTCTTGTCAGCCTGGGGTCTCCATGTAGAACTTGAAGACCTGTAAAAATCCAAGTTGTGGTCACCATCTTAAACATCCATGCCTATCTGTCTAGCTGTGGTGTTTCTCCATAATAGACAAAACCAAACCCTCTTGCTATTCATCTGAGAGCCGGACAGTGAATAAAAATCACAGAAGAAGGATTAATACCTCTGAGCTGTGGAGAAGAGTACTGAACGTCCCATAGACTGACAAAAGAACAAACTAGTATGTCTTGGAGAAGGTGGAGCCAGAGAACTCTTTGGAGGCAAAGATGACAAAGCTTCACCTCACATACTTTGGGCATGTTGTTAGGAGGGGCTGTTCCTTGAGAAGGAGGTGATGCTTGGAAATGTGGAGGGTTGACGAAGGAGAGGAAGATCCTCGACCAAATGAGTTGACACCGTGACTACCGGAGTGGGCTCTAGTGTGTCAGGAAGTGTGAGGATGTCCCAGGCTAGGACAAGGTTCACATCTGTTGTTCATGGCATCACTATGGGTCGTACTAGACTTGATGGCAACGTCACAACAACATAGCTGTCAAGTTGGTTCCAGTTCATGGCGACCCTCCATCAGATTTCTGAAACTCTAAATTTTACAGAAGTCTGCCCATCTCTGCCCCAAGGAGCAGCTAGTAGATTTGAACCAATTACCTTTTAAACAGTGCAACATGTAACACGTTGTGCCACCAGAACTCCTTTTGTGAACACTGAGCCCACCCTCCGGCTCTGGATCCGGGCACTCAGTGGTAGAGAGCATGCGTGTCACAGTGAAGATGTCACAAAAAAATTTGAGGTTTGACTTGTTTAGGTTTGAAGGGAAGAGGAGTCAGGAAATTAAGACCTTGCCTCGGATTCTTTGAGAACCGCCCTGACACTAACACTTCGCTCTGCCCTGCTTCCCTCTCGCCTGGCTGCTTGCTTTGTGGAGTAGCTCTTGTGTGGGTGAAATGAGATAACTGCACGCAGAAGCACTAAGCACATAGCTGAGCGAAGACGGAAACAGTGAAGGACCTTATCTTCACTGTCCCTGTGGGCTTTCAGTCCACCATGGATGGGGCTTCTGACTGGCACATGGTTTCTAGAGGAGCTTTTCATTTGTGACCACTTTCCTTTATTGTCACCATTCAGACTGGCCTGTGTTTATAGTGTTTAGACCCAGTCTTTGGTTAATATTACAAGATCACCGAGGAGGCTGGGTCTCATAACTGCCATAGTCACAGCCCTTGTCCCCATGGCCGCTTCTGGGATGTTGGGTACGAACCAGCCAAATGTAAGGCAGTTCATCAAGTCTCAAGCCCTTTGCAGTGTCTGCTACGCCACTTGGGTTCTGTGTGAAGTGACCACTGGGTCCACAGTGCCCTCCACTGTTGCTTTTTAAATGATTTCATGTAAGTACCAGGGTGACGTTTGACATCACTTCACTGCTCTAACGTTGCAGAGAATAAAGTTGTCTGATGAGCCCGTCGAAGCAAAAGAAGACTACACTAAGTTTAACTCTAAAGACTTGAAGACTGGAAAGGTACGTGTGTCCTGGGCAGTGGCCTGCTGTCTGCATGCCTGGATGCCACCTGCCTGCATGCTCATTGTTACTGACCATGTATAGTGAGCAGTTTGCATTTCAGTGACCTAATAATGAATCTAAAGTTGTGAATGGGGATGAAAATACTAGGCAATTAAGACTTGCAATATACTTTGCAGGACAGCCTGAGCTTCACCAGGTCTTCACTGAGTGCTAGGCAGGCGTAGAGGAGGGAGGGAGCTGAGGATTTTGTGCCAAACTTGCTGCCCACAGCTTCTCTGGAACCCTGGTGCTGATGAAATGATTAACTCGCCATGCAGTGGCAACCCCAGAAAATGCTATCATAATATTTCTTCCTAAGTTTTATGCATGCAGTACACACACATACACACACACGTGCACAAACATATGCATACACATTTGAATATATAAAAGTAGCTTTTCAGATTTGCTTTATAATATTTACATGGTTTTGCAGTCATTGTTATACAGTGAAAATATTCACATTTCATTAAATATTGCCTGAAAACATTTTAATATCTTGATACCATTAAAGGATGTGTGTTCTTTTTTCTCATGATTTGGAATATGATTCATTTAATCACTGCTGTTTGGGGCCACATAGGTCACTTCATATTTGTAACATTTTTGTTGTAAGAAGTGGCTGGCATTAAATAGAGTCCGCCTGCACCTCTGATTACTTCTTTAAACACAAATTCGAAATAAGAGGAAGCACTGAGAAATGAGCCCTTTAATCATTGTTGAAATTATATATGCCAAAGTGGTGAAATTTTTACCCTCCACCTTTTTTTGCTGCTGAGTGTTCATCTTGCATGCTTGACAACACTGAGTGTTCATTTTAGTCTTGAAATTTTTGCCTCTCAAATTAGTTTACCGTCTATCCCACGACTTAAACAGGTTGATTTTCCAAAACAACCATACAGGTTTTAGAAGTTTTTGGTCTGTGTCCTCATAGCACATTTCATGACCTTTGGATGATCATTTTCAGTCTTTAGGACTTTTTAACACTCATAAATTTCCTGAGGATTAAGTATGAAAATTACTGGTCTTTGTGCTTTTACTGTTGTTTTTATGCTCAGAAAAGTCCTGCCTATCCCCTGATCAAATATCTTCCACCTGGATTTTAACAACCGCCTTTAATCTTGGTGGTAGTGGTGTTTAATGAAATATTATTTCAGCATGTGATGTAATCCAATTTGAGACTGGATAATGAGTGAGCCTTCTCGGTGCTCTATTAGCAGGGATATTTTGGGTTCCTCCTAAGTGTTTTTGTCTCTTCTAAGAACCACTTCCTAGTCTTTCCACTGGGAATAACACCAGGGACGTAGAGCCTTCCACCAGGATGGGGTCTGGGAAGGACGTGCCACTTGTCTGAAAGAAACCGTGGGCTTTCACCACCCAGCCCCAAGCTGAGACCACTGGATTGCAGTGATGGAACATGAGGAGATATGCAGGGTGTACTGTAGCCCTGAAAGTGACTTTGGGGGTGTCCTGGCTCCACAGTACCCATGGAGAGAGATGGTTTTATTCCTTTGGCAGTTCTCATTCAGTATTGCTCTTCTTGTGGAAGAGATAAACATTTAGAAGCAGAGCCATTTGGAACCAGGTTTGGGAAAGTATTTGTTGGGGGAGAAATGGGCAGCCATCCTGCAGCTCCCAGGATGCCTTGCAGTGCAGGTCATCTTTGGCACACAAGAGTGTTTATCGTTGGTTTCCCATGGAATGTATGAATAAAATCGCATGGTAAATTGGTGTGAATTATTCATCGTGCGGTAATATAAGGCTGTAGTTCCTCCCTCTGACAACACAGACTGAATTGCTGTCTGTGTCAGTTCCATTGTTGGTGTTATTGCACTTAATGTGCCCTACAGAATGTGTCCCCTTCAGAGACCGTTGGCTGTGACAGTCCACTCAGAAGGCCGCAGCTTTGTCTCCTGCCCCTTTTAACATATTCTGTCTCTGAAATCCGAAGTCTGGCTGCGATTCAGAACCTTCATAATCACTCCCTCATAAAGCCTGTTACAGTGAAGCCGTCCCTCGCCTTGATAAGCCTCGAGACTTGCATAGTCTTTTCTGCTTTGCATGTATGATTTATAAATGTTGCATCCCTAACAATCTTTCCTCTTATCTTCATTAACAGAAAAATGCTAAAATGACCGCAGCTCAGAAGGCTTTGGCTAAAGTTGACAAGAGTGGAATGAAAAGTATTGATAGCTTTTTTGGTGCAAAAAGTAAGAAAAAGACTTGAAACTTTGAAGATGAAATTTAGTAGAACTTTACTTTTGCTTTTAACATGTCCCATTTTTGCCTTTCCTTCATGCCACTGTACTTTCTACTTCTCCTTAATATCCTGCCTCTCCTTTTTTTTTTTTGGGGGGGGGGTGGAAACCTAAACAAAATGTCTAGCAAAAAAGGTGAAAGACATTTCTCATATTCACTTGAGCAATTCTTTGTAATTGGTTTGTGTGTTCCTGAATATGGGAAAATAATCATGTAACTTCATGGCTTGTGGCCTTTGAAGTCTTGAAGACATGATGAAAAGTAATCAAGTAAATAGAATTAAGATGTCATAGCACAATTTCCTCAATAAAATGACATGGGACAGTATTTGACATCGTGCCTGGTTTTTCATACAACTTTGCCACACATTAGCTTTGTTGGTGTTAGGTGCAGCTGAGCTGACCCTGTTCATAGTGACCCTGTGAATGGCAGATCAAAACCTTGTCCTGTCCTATGACATCCTCGTGGTGTCCACTCAAGCCCACTGTTGCAGTCACTGTGTCAGTCTATCTCACTGAAGGCCTTCATTTCATCTCTTTTTCTGCCCTCAGTTTTCATGGTGTCTCTTTCCATGGACTGGTCCCTTCTGATTAAATGCCCAAAATGTATGAGAGGACATTTCACCACTGTGGTTGTACGTCCTCCAACACAGACATATTTATTCTCCCACAGCCCACGGGATATTTAGCACTCTTTGCCAGCACCACAATCAGCTATAGCGCCGCTGAAATACACTAATACATTCATTTGAGAGATTATAGTAGTTTCTATATGTAATTATGATGTACAATATACTAAGAGAAATCATAGGGCGCTCCGGTGGTCAGGAATTTTGCTGTCAACCTGAAGGCACACGGTTCAAATCCACCAGCAGCTCCACCGGAGAAAGATGAGCAGTCTCCTGCTGTGTGATTTACTGCCTCTGAAAACCGCTGAAGGACCAGTTCCAGTTCAATGGTACACCACAACTGCAAGAGAAATCCTATACAAAAGCTTCCGGGTAAACAATTACTGTGAGACTCAGATAAACAGCTGCCTTTCAAAAAGTTTCAGTAAACCTTTCATTTAATGGTAGTATTCTATGTTTCTTAGTAGAAAAGAAATAGATTTCTAGATCTGTGGATTGATTAGTGCCAGTAAGTTGGTGACCTTGTACATCAGAATGGATTATTGCCTGGTCTTACATCATCCTCACAATTGCCAGCGTGTTCACGTCCAGTATTACATCTCTGTGCTAGTCCATCTGACCAGGGGTGGGCAGTGTGTGTGTGAGAGAGAGAGAGAGAGACCCTCGACCTCACTGTCTCTGCTTCACCAACCAGGATGTCCTTCTCTAGAGAGTCCACATCAAGAGGGTTGGTCATGTTCTGTCACAACCCAGGTTTTCACTGACTAGTTTTTTAAAGTAGATCACTAGGCTTTCTTCCTCATCTGACTTAGCTCCACTCATCCTGTGCATCTGGAGAGAGGAGGGACCCTGCTGGTACTTAAAACACTAGCAACGCAGTTTTCAATAACAGCCACATGCAGGCCCCTACAGCGCAAAAGGGGCAATAAGTAGAAAAAGGTAAAAAACAGAAATTATAACTTAAGACTTCTCATCACTCAAACATCAGATGGTGATGTTTAAACAATTTTTATTTAAAAAAGGATAATAATAGTTATTTGTTCAAAGTTTATTTTGTGTCTCCTTGGTGGTGCTTTTTTTTTAAATTGTGTTTCACATTCTTTCATATTGTATTTCATACAATCACTTCCATGCATTATGTTTTATAAAATCTATCACCATTGAACCTTGCCCATCACTATCCAATCTTTTCAGACCCCTGCGGGATATTTTCCATTTCCTTAACCCTTCCCCGATCCACCAAATTAGGCAACCCTATGGTTTCTCCTCTACCCATCCTTACCCCTGTGCTCCCACTCCTTCCCCCTTGGGGAAAATATACTTGTTTTACTAGTTATCCTCCTATTTTTACAATAATGGACTTATGTAGTATTTGTCCTTATGAGACTGAGTTCACTCAGCATGATGCTTTCCAGTCTCTCTCATGTTATGTAGTGTTTGTCAAAACTGTTGCTCCTGAGTGCTGCATAGTATTCCATTATGTGAACATACCACAATTTCTCAATCCATTAAGTTGTAGTTGGACATCTGGGCTGTTTCCATGTTCTTGTGATGGTGAATGCTGCTATGAACATTGGTGTACAGATCTCCACTTTGTGTCTCGGTTCTAATTTCCTTGGGGTATATTCCTAGTAGTGGAATAGTTGGATCATATGGAGTTTCTATGTTCAACTATTTGAGGAAACGCTAAACTATCTTCCAGAGTGAGTGCACCTTTTTACAATCCCACCAACAGTGTTTGAGAATTCCCACCTCTCCACATCCTCTCCAACATTTATTGCTTGCTGCCCTGCTAAACTTTGCCACTGCTACTTGGTTAAGATGGTATCTCATTGTGGTTTTGATTTGCATCTCTCTTATTGCCAGTGATTTTGAGCATTTCTTCTTATGTCTGTTGGCCATCTGAATGTCTTCTCTGTGAAAAGTCTTTCCAGTATTTTGGCCATTTTGTAATTGCGTTATCAGTCTTTTTCTTCTGGAGGCAGAGGAGTAGTCTGTAAACCTTTGTAATGAGACCCTTGTCTGAGATTGTATTGCCAAATCTTTGTTCCCAGTTGATAGGCTTTCTTTCCACCCTGTTGAAGAAAGGTTTTGATGAGCACAGAAATTTAATCTTTAAAAGGTTCTATTCTTCAATTTTATTCTCTCCAGATTGTGCATCTCTGCCTGTATTTGGCAGTCTCTTTCTACCACAGACTAGGCCTTCTAAGCTTGATCCTACTTTGTATCTTATGAACTTTATGGTTTGGAGCTTTGCTTCCAGGTCTCTGGTCCTCCTTGAGTTGATTTTTTTAATTTGGTGTGAGATGTGGATCCTGTTTCAGCTTTCTGCAGGTAGCAGTCCAGTTTTGCCAGCACCATTTGTTGAAGAAATTGGGTTTGTAATTTTTAACTTTACTTGTGATTTGAGTAAAAGTTTCCAAACAAATTGGTTTTCCATTCAGTCATTGAGAGACATCCTATCTTATTAATAACAGTCCCACATTATCACAGCCTGCTGTCAGTTCCATGAGGTGCATTCTCAGCGCTGGGATTGCAAAATTCTCTAGTATTTCTGTGTTTACCTTTTTAAGGAACCAGCAAACTGCCTTTCACAGTGGCTGCACCATTTTGATATTTCCACCAGAAGTGGATAAGGTTTCTAATTTCCCCATGTCCTTATCAACACCTATCATTTCCCACTTTGTTATGATTGTCTAACAGTAATGGGATTGCATACACTGTAGTTCTGATACATATCTCCTTGATGACTAACAAATGTTGAACATCTTCACATGTATTTATAGCCACTTGTAGAGTCTCTTGAGTGAAATGTCTATTCAGTCCCTTTGCCCGATTTTTGGATTATATTGTCTCTTTGTTATTAAGAGTAGAAGTTCTTCATATATTCCGGATATTAAGCTGTAGGCATCTTTGTAAGCAAACTTTCTCCCCATCTGTAGGCTGTCTCTTCATTTTGTTGATAAAGTCCTTTAAATGACTAAATGTTAGTGTACATTTGGAACCTTGCAAAAACCTAGTTGGTGTATTACTCTTTTCATACATACAGTTATTAGGTGCTGTCAAGTTGACCAAGACCCATAGTGACCCAATAGACAACAGATTTAAACCTTCCCCTTTCTGTACCACCTCACAGTCCAGCCAAGCTTACACCCATCACTGTGTCAGCCCATCTCATTGAAGGTCTTCTTCTCATTCACTGACCTGCTATTTTCCAAACATGATTATGTTTCCAACAACTGCCCCTCCTGACAACATGTCCAAAGTGTATGCTAAGGAACATGCCGATTGCACTTCGAAGAATGATTTCTTTATTGAGGGTAGTCCAGTACTCTGCCAACAGCATTATTCAAAAGCATCAATTCTTCCTCAATCATATTTAGTCATAGCTCAAATTTCACATACATAAAGAGCAATTGAAAATACATATAAAAATATTATGTA